ATCACCCTGTCATTACTAACAAGCCTGTAGAACCCTTTATTGTTACCCTTCACATCCCTTGCTAACTGCAAGTCCAATTGTTCTTTCTCCTTCCTTCCTGATTACTCTACTGCATTCTCAAGCAATATATTTATACTCCCCCATACTCATCTGACCAAGTTTCCACTTCTTATAAGCTTTCTTTTTGTGTTTAAGGTCGCCAAGGATTTCCCTGGTAAGCCAATCTGGTCACCTACCATATTTGCTATTTTTACTAAATAACATCTACTGAAAGAACACTATGGACAGAGTGTTCAAGGCTGCAGTTGGTGTTACTGACAACAGAATTTAACCCAAGGTGAATAATCTGGTCACACACGCATATCTATAAGTGCGTGATTTTGAGGTTGAGGGAATCTTTGCTTTATGCACTGGATTATCAAATAGCCATCATGATCTCAAAATAGTCTTCATTAATTTCACCCAAAAAAGGGTGAACCTAAGCTAAAATGTATTTGACAATAAATAATGGTCAGAACAGTGATATTTTTATGGACAAAGCAAGAAGATATTATTGTATCTATAACTATCATGTAAAATACTATTGAGATGCTGATGACAACTCCATAGTAAGGACTGTATTACATTTGGCTACAAAAACTATTCAGCTTATTTGTTGTGTATAAAACAACATATCCTTCCAAATTTACAGCACTTATTCTCAAACACAAGATTAATTTTCTGAGAATTTACAAATGAATGTTATTTTGTTTATGATTTAAAATAAATTAAAAATTGGATTCTTTAAGAAACTTAGCATTTTCCTTGTCAGTATTTTCTTTGTCCTGAATGATCTTAACACTGAAATAAAGCAGACTCTTCAATTTTCCATGTAGTTAACATTAATTGAAATCTTGTATATAGGCATCATCTGAAGACATTACATTTGTAATTAAGATAAGTTATTAATGATTAATGGTTATGAATGGAAATAAATATTTTAAAAATGGAATGTGCCTTTCCAAATAAGATTAAATTTAATTTAGAATCTCAGATACGTTTAGGTGCCTAAACCAGAATCATATGGTTATCCTCTGGAGTTACTGCAGGACAAAGTTGTTTGCGTACTTTAACTAGGCATTTCTTATCTGAAAATACTTAGATTACTCTTTCTGACTCATCTAGATTTCTAACGCTTGGTTTTGGGATGCCTACCAACCTCCCTGTAATTTGTTTTTAACCTTAATTTACTATAAAATGGAGTTAAGGTTGAGAGCATGTACCACAATTACTATCTGAAAATAAGAATATATTGTTTTCATATATTGTATCAGCCAGAATACAGAGGACTCTAGAGTTACAATGCATAACTGTGCACTCATCAATTATTCATTTCCCTGAATCCTGAGTGGGTTAGATTTCCATTGGCATGTACAATTATTTCTTAGTAACTATCAATAAAAAATGCCTGTACTCGGAAGAACATTAGCCAAATAGAACAGAGGAATGTATAGTGTTCTAGACAACCACTCAGCTTTGATTGGTCACTGTCCTTGATATTCCCTGTCTACTAGTCCACAACAAACATGGAAGACTCAACTTCTTGCCTCACGCTCTACTGTGTTGCTCAGTATCAAAGTTATGGTAATTTGAAAAATGGCTCCAATTCAGAAAGACATTTCAGCATGCATGTAAATCTATGCCTATTCTAGAAAGTACGTAAGTACATGATTAAATCCTACAGGACTTTTCTGACTAGGGATGTTTTCCTGAAGTGGAGTCTGGGGAGGGTGATGGGGAGAGAAAGACAGTCTTAGTGGGTTGTGCCCATAAAAGCTCATGATACCATCTACACGTTTTGTTAGTCTTTAAGGTGCTGCTAGTCTACAGGCAGTCCCCGGGTTACGTACAAGATAGGGACTATAGGTTTGTTCTTAAGTTGAATTTGTACGTAACTCGGAACTGGCTCCAGATTCAGCCGCTGCTGCTGAAACTGACCAGGGGCTGACTACAGGAAGCCCGAGGCAGAGTTGCTCTGCCCCCAGCTTCCTGGAATCAGCCACTGATCAGTTTCAACAGTGGCTGAATCTGGAGCCTGGGACAGAACAGCTGGGGCGCTGCCAGGTAGGTCCCCCCAGGACCAACCCGGCAGCACCCCAGCTGCTCTACCCCAGGCATCCACAACAAAAGCCTGGTCTGCTGGGGGGGGGGGGGGGGGGAC